CAGTGTGCACGGCCAATGGGGAGGGGCTTTGGGAAGTTGTCGTCGCCCAGCAGCTTGGACACGGACTCTGTGGGAGTCCATTGTTCTTCGTCCTCCAGTTTGATGTTCAGCGACTCCTGCTTCTAAAATCGAGAACCTTGGCTTGGAGCGCCTCGTTCTTTTTAAGCTGCGCGCAGGTGGTTTCCAGGCCTCCGAACCGGGGTGTCATGATCAGACAGGGCCTTGTCGGCTGTGTTCATGCCATCTTTAGAGACTCTGTTTCGAGCCTGTCAAAACGATCGTTGATAGTTTTTATTACAGCCTCTTTCATTTGTTGACACATTGCCGTGGCAGAATCTTGTTGCTGGGTATCTGGAGAGTTGTCATCAGTACTCAAAATGGCGCTAGCTGCTGTTTGTTGAGCCTGGGCCTTTGTCAACTTTGTGTTGCCTGTTCTGTCACCATATTTCACTTTTTCGCTGCTAGTTAGTGCCTGGGGAATATACTAAACAACATGTATATTTTTCTGGGGGCAAACTTGGAAATAATACGTTAAGAATTCAAGATGTCAAAATAAGCGGAGAGGAGATCTGAAGGAACCGATTGGTGTCACCTCGTTAGTCAGTATGTGTTACACCTGTGCTGGTTGCCATCTCGTTAGTGGGAAGGTGTTTCACCTGTGCTGGCCCAGGTGCTATTTAAGAGTGGCTGGCCCAGTTGCCTTGAGAGATTAAGGTCAACACCTTTAGTTGGCTCTCCCCATTTCATTTTTAGAAAGACAATCCTTTATCTGATTTTGTTTTGCTCCACCTTTTTGGTTTGCTTCCTGTCTTTAAGTTTGGTGTGGGTTTTACATTTAGTTTGCCTCCTCTTTGGCAAACTTAGTGGGCGCTAATGGGTGTCTAAGGTTTCAGATGTTGTTGCTAGACAACGTTCAGTGGACACACCCCTATGAGTGTCTTCCAGAACCCCTCCTAAAACCCGTTTCATTTTGGTTGTTGTCAGTGACTCTTTGTTAGTTCCCCCTTCTGTTTGAGCGACATTATTTGGTTTTCTTGCTGGGGAACGTAACACGTTACTAAATACACACACCACATGTTAATATACACACACACACACATCACGCTAATTTACATTTTAGTCATTTAGCAGACGCTCTTATCCAGAGCGACTTACAGGAGCAATTAGGGTCAAGTGCCTTGCTCAAGGGCGAAATCGACAGATTTTTCACCTAGTCGGCTCGGGGATTAGAACCAGCGACCTTTCGGTTACTGGCACAACGCTCTTAACCACTAAGCTACCTGCCGCCCCAACAATGTGGGTATATGTTAATATAAACACAGCACACATTAATACACACCACATGTTAATATATACACACCACACGTTAAAGAAGTAATTGCCCCCCTTACACTCTATAACTGGTTGTGCCATCTTTAGCTGCAATGACTGCAACCAAATGCTTCCTGTAGTTGTTGATCAGTCTCTCACGTCGCTGTGGAGGAGTTTTGGCCCACTCTTGCAGGTAGAACTGCTTTAACCCAGCGATATTTGTGGGTTTTCAAGCATGAACTGCTCGTTTCAAGTCCTGCCACAACATCTCAAAATTGGGATTAAGTCTGGACTTTGACTAGGCCATTCCAAAACTTCAAATGTGTTGCTTTCTAGCCATTTTCATGTAGACTTGATTGTGTGTTTTGGATCATTGTCTTGCTGCATGACCCAGCTGCGCTTCAGCTCACAGACGACGGATGGCCTGACATTCTCCGGTAGAATTCTCTGATACAGAGCAGAATTAATGGTTCCTATTAAAGGCAAGTTGTCCAGGTCTACCGTGCTTCATTGTTGGTATGAGGTTCTTACGGTGGAATGCAATGTTTGGTTTTCAACAGGCATAAATGGGACCCATGTCCTCCAAAAAGTTGACTCAAGTTGGCCAAAAAGCACCTGGAAGATCATAAAAGACCCTTGGAAGAACGTTCTATGGACAGATTATTCAAAAGTATAACTTTTAGGACTCAGCATTGACTCCCTGTCAAAATAAAACATCACATGATATACACTACCGGTCATCTGATGCAGCACTCAATCACTCTCCTTCTTGGTAAAATAGCCCTTACACAGCCTGGAGGTGTGTTGGTCATTGTCCTGTTGAAAAACAAATGATATAGTCCCACTAAGCCAAAACCAGATGGGACGGCTTATCGCTGCAGAATGCTGTGGTATCCATGCTGGTTAAGTGTGCCTTGAAATCTAAATAAATCGCGGACAGCGTCACCAGGAAAGCACCCCCACACCATAACACCTCCTCCTCCATGCTTTAAGGTGGGAATTACACATGCGGAGATCATCTGTTCACCCACACCGTGTCTCACAAAGACACGGCGGTTGGAACCAAAAATCTCCCATTTGGATTTCCACCGGTCTAATGTCCATTGCACGTGTTTCTTGGCCCAAGCAAGTCCCTTCGTATTATTGGTGTCCTTTAGTAGTGGTTTCTTTGCAGCAATTCGACAATGAAGGCCTGATTCACACAGTCCCCTCTGGACAGTTGATGTTGAGATGTGTCTGTGACTTGAACTCTGTGAAACATTTATTTGGCCTGCCATTTCTGAGGCTGGTAACGCTAATGAACGTATCCTCTGCAGCAGAGGTAACTCTGGGTCTTCCTTTCCTGTGGCGGTCCTCATGAGAGCCAGTTTCATCATAGCGCTTGATGGTTTTTGCGACTGCACTTCAAGAAACTTTCAAAGTTCTTGACATTTTCCGGATTGACTGACCTTCATGTCTTAAAGTAATGATGGACTGTCGTTTCTCTTTGCTTATTTGAGCTGTTCTTGCCATAATATGGACTTTGTCTTTTCCCAAATAGGGCTATCTTCTGTATACCCCCCCCCCCCCTCCACCTTGTCACAACACAACGCATTAAGAAGGAAAGAAATTCCACAAATTAACTTTTAAGAAGGTGGACCTGTTAATTGAAATGCATTCCCAGTGACTACCTCATTAAGCTGGTTGAGAGAATGCCAAGAGTGTGCAAAGCTGTCAAGGCAAAGGGTGGCTATTTGAAGAATCTCAAATATATTTTGATTTGTTTAACACATTTTTGGTCACTACATGATTCCATATGTGTTATTTCATAGTTTTGATGTCTTCACTATTATTCTACAATGTAGAAAACAGTAAAAATAATAATAAAGAAAAACCCTTGAATGAGTAGGTGTGTCTAAACTTCTGACTGGTAGTGTATATACACACACTCCCTAGGGATCTTTCCATTTCAAGACGATTCGATGCCTATGTGGATACATGGTCTCCGATACGTTTTAGTTTGAAAACTATTCGATGCGCTAACATTTGTTGCATAAAACTCATCGATTTTTCCATTCTACCGATGGCGCTCGTGGGGCCTCTCAGAGCTGGATCTGTCTGAGCTGACCTGTGTGTGTAAATGTTGTGTGTTCCCCATAAGGGAAGCCGGGCATCTACCACCCCGCTACCATCTGTTTGCTTTTTCTTCCCCTCTACCACTTTGAATCTGAAGTCTCCGTCACCCACTAATTCATTAGTCATTTTTGCAGTTTAAAAACATGTTTGAGCTAGTAATGTATCAATATGTACCTTAAAAATGTGCTATGGACATACCCAATGAATATATAGCGCAACTTTGGATTTCACCCACATCTCACAATCGAATGGTTTCAACCGCTTGGAAGTTCTCTTCTTCGACCATGTAGTGTGGGTATCAAAAGTGACTGCTGTTCTCATTATTAAATTAAACTAAAAAGGACTATATATACCCACAATACACTGATTGTTTCTAGGAAAACTATTGCGGATGGTGAACCTGAACAATCTAAATGAAGTCTACTGTAGGCCCTGATCAGCATGTAAAGGTAGATGACAGTTGTGTCTCTGCTCCATCTTAAGCTACTTTTACTGATATAAATAACCTAGCAAATTACGTTGGTTGTCACTCAACTAATAAAGCCACTTTACAAACATGTGATGCTGAAGGCAACACGCAGAGGTGCCAGATCAGCAATAGGCCTACCACTTGTTGGTCAGCGCGCAAAGCGTGCAGATTGACTAGGCTACTGATAATGCCTGGCATGCAAAATGACTTGTAGATTGACTGTCAACACAAATACATGCTTAGTTTGACACTGGACTAAGCGTGAAAGACACCCACACACCCCAGCCACGAGCTGTTCTCTCCCTTACCGTCGGGCAGATGGTATCGGAGCATGAGGTCTGTTTGCAGATGACACAACAGTAGTAGGCCTGATTACCAACAATGACAGCCTACAGGGAGGAGGTGAGGGCCCCAGAGGAGCGGTGCCAGGAAAATAACCTCTCCCTCAACGTCAACAAAACAAAGGAACTGATCATGGACTTCAGAGGGATCACGCCCCTATCCACATCGACGGGACCGCAGTGGACAAGGTGAAGAGCTTCAAGTTCCTCGGCGTACACATCACTGACAATCTGAAATGGTCCACCCACACAGACAGTGTGATGAAGAAGGCACAACAGCGCCTCTTCAACCTCAGGAGGCTGAATACATTTTACAGATGCACAATTAAGAGCATCCTGTCGGGCTGTATCACCGCCAGCAACCACTGGGCTCTCCAGAGGGTGGTGCGGTCTGCCCAACGCATCACCGGGGACACACTGCCTGCCCTCCAGGACACCTACAGCACCCGATGTCACAGGAAGGCCAGAAAAGATAATCAAGGACAACAACCACCCGAGTCCTGGCCTGTTCACCCCGCTATCATCCAGAAGGCCATGTATACCATGCGTATCCTGTATATACGACTAATAAAAACGTAACTTAAAAAGGAGAGGATGCAGTTGTCACAAAATGACGTATTTTCATTAGTTAGAAATAAAAGAATTTGAGCAACAACAAAAATGAACAAATACATGAACACACTACGCATGCACACATGATGAGCGACCACATACGATGGGCGCACCCACACAAAAGTGCAGGTGTGATGGCTTAGTGTCTTACCGGTGTTGGGCTCTTGTTTGACATAGCAGACCTTCTCCAGATCTTCCTTGTATTCTTTCTTCAGCTGCTTGACGATCTTCTTGCTGTGGTTGGATTTCTTCACTCTGAACACCTCAGCCTCATCTACGAGAGAGAGATCAGTTAACGTTCGTGTAAACAATGAAACAAGCAACAAAATAATTATGTGAAGATTGGATGCAACCAAACGGCTGTTAACTAGTTAGCTAGTTAGCTATGTTGTTTACAACCTTGAATCTGCTAGCTACTGTAGCTGACTAACATTAGTTAACTTGGCTAACCCACAATGCAGAAACGTTGACAATGTTTTAAAATGTTTTGACAATGTGAAATTGTCAACAGTTCAATACGTCAGCTCGGAAGCACAGTATTTATTACAAGAACACTTATTAGGTAGTTAAATATCCGCTGAAACGGTTAGCTAACCGGTTAGTTAGCTAACTAACGTTAACTAGCTTGCTAGCTAGATTAGCTAACTCACGTTACCGGTAATAAAGGAGAGGTAATCAGTTAGCTAGCTAACTATCCGACGTTAACTTTACCTTCGTCATCATCAAAGCTCAGCAAACTGGCTTTCGGGGCTCCCCCTGCATCCCGAGTTTTCTTATTTTCCTTCTTGATGGCCTTTGACTGAAACCCGTTGCCGTGGTGCACGTCCACGCTAACCCCGGAGAAGGCGTCTGTGCTGGGGGCATCGGGCATCGGGAGATCCTCGGCGAAAGGCCCGCATGGCTGCTGGGCTGGCTGGCTTTCCTCCTTCTCGTCCTCGTCCGACTCATTCCTCCGTCTTAAATTTGATCTTTTTGCTTTTTTAAACATGTCTGCTCCTTATCCGAAACAAATTAGGCTATATCTGTAAAAAATAAAAATAAACACACGGCAGCATATCAATAAAATGCTACGAAGCGCGCAAAATAGCCTCTGCAGCGGATGGCGGCCATTTCGTTTCAGCTAACGGAAGTACCCGTATTTTTTATAAATATAATATTACAGACAAGCGAGAAATAGCAATGGCGTCTTTTTGTAGGCACTAACTCCGCCATGACCCGTTGGACGATGCCTATGTGGAAAATTAAAGGTTTATTTTTTTGGGATAAACGCCGAAAATAAGGTGTGTGGTAAACACAGGTTTAGGAGATCTTATACGTTTTATTCCGTGAGATAAATCACTTGATTTGGCAATGTAAACATATGTTTCCCATGCCAATAAAGCTATTTTAGTTTAATACTCTTCATCAGTTAACGTCACTTTTTGTGCATTTTTAAGAATTGTAATTATTTTTTTAAAACACAAAGGCTTCATAATTCCTAAAGGTAATGTTAACATAATGCTACTATCTCATTGAATAAAACGTATAAAGATCTCCTCAGGCCTTACTTTCGCCGTTTATTCAAAAACCCTATTCTTTATCTTGGCCAGGTCGCAGTTGTAAATGAGAACTTGTTCTCAGCTGGTTTACCTGGTTAAATAAAGGTGAAATAAAAAAAATAAAAAATTCTTTCCACATAAATGTTTCCCATAGGGATGGCTGAACGAACCAGAGGTAACTCATTTCCGGGTTTTAGGACTACAAGCTGGCGAGCTCTAGTGATGCCGCATTCAAAACAACTGGGAAGTCGGAATAATACGAGGTCAAATCCTTTCGTCAGTGATCTTCATGTCGGAAAGTCGGAGCTCTAGAAATATGCCCGAGTTCCAAAGTTGGAATTCCGAGTTCGATTTTTCCCAGTCGCAGCTCGTTTTTTTTTCCCACGTTCCCAGTCGTTTTGAACGCTCGGAAGTCTGAGCTTTCCGATTTCCCAGTTGTTATGAACGCGGCATGAGTACCACCTGGAAATGGCTCCAATCGTTTTTACACCAATACTTTTTACTTAGGGGTTTTACAACTACTTCATATAAGGTCTGTGTTTCGTGTAGGCTTCCCCTTACGTGACGTTTTGATAACCGCACAAATCTCTCTCGGATAAGGTAACTTTTATCAATGCATTCGCCTGTAATTACCCCCCCAAAATGAAACGTTAATGTGGCTATCATACAGAACTAAACATCCTATTGCAAGCTTTGACGTCATCACTCAAGGCGCGGGGTGGGGGGAAAAAAACTCAATTTCTCCAGGCAAGTAACCTAGCAAGTAGATATTATAGTATTTTTAATTTCTCGTGTAAATAATTTATATTTTGTATTTCTTGTATGTAATCTTGTTTAGCATTATTCAAATTACCTAGCTAGCTACCTTAGCATTTTTCCTATTATTGATTTTATTTTATTTTTTATGACCCTGGCCTTTATAGCTAACTAGCTAACCTTAGGTCTCTCCATAAATCAGAAGCAAGGATGGTGCTGTGCTATGTACCGGATTGTAAACACTACTCCGGACATGTCCTCTTTTTGTACCTAAAAAAAATGCGTCCGGCCGGGATTTCTAAATCGCCCAAAATGTCAGGGATTCGGCTTTTGCTTTCTACAGTCGCCATTCATTGTGTGCGTTTTTGGGGGTTTTGCATTGCTTTGACCTTTTTCTTTAGGTCCCGCCTTATCACACACCATCATTGGTCGGTCATGTAGGCCTACGCAAACATTGGTCAAACTGCATCTCAATCATTACCCGCACCATGGCAACAGCCAGGAGACAGAGCAGCAGCTTGCTTGTCAACAGTGGCACATGGCTCCAGAACAGCGTAAAAATGCCCACACGCAAATGTAAATTCACAGACGATTTACAGAGAAAATTCCTGTGTTTTCGTCTTGGTCGGGATCCGTGTGAAGCAGAATGCATGACCTGCAATGCTGGCACGTACGTGTCAGTGTCAAATAAAGGTGCTAGCGACCTAGAAGCCCACATAAGCTCAGCAAAACACAAAATTGCAGCTAAAGGAGAGAGTTCGTCAGGTAAATTAACGGACTATTTTGTGAGAGCAGGTATAACAGAAGATGCTGTTACTGCTGCGGAGGGAGTTTTTGCATTCCACACCACGAAGCATCACAATAGCTACAGATCAATGGACTGCACGTCTGCCTAGTTAAAAAAGGCTTTCCCTGATTCCGAGCCTGTGTGAACATTTTTCAGGCTCTCATACTAAGACCGAAGCAATTGTTAACGCTGTGATTAGCACCACATTCTGTCGACATAGCTCTGAAAGCACTGGAAGACATATCTTAGTGTGGTGTTTCTACTGATGGGAGAAATCACAGTGCTGGGAAAATATTCCCTCTGCTTATTCAGTATTTTGATTGGAAGAATGGTGGCGTGCAAAGTAAATTAGTCGAAGTTAAAAACACACCAAATGAGACAGCTGATACGATCGCGCTATACATCAAAGAGCCACTGGAAAAGAATGGGATTTTTTCTAAGTGTATTGCATTTACAGGTGACAACTGCAATACAATGTTCGGGGGAATCTGGCGTGATGAAGAAGGAAATAATGTTTTTGCAAAACTTAAAGAAGTCATTGCAGAACCTTTAATCGGTGTGGGCTGTCCAGCACACGTCTTGGACAATTGTGTTCATTACGGGGCAGACACACTAGATGTGTTCATTACAGGGCAGACACACTAGATGTGTTCATTACGGGGCAGACACACTAGATGTGTTCATTACGGGGCAGACACACTAGATGTGTTCATTACGGGGCAGACACACTAGATGTGTTCATTACGGGGCAGACACACTAGATGTGTTCATTACAGGGCAGACACACTAGATGTGTTCATTACGGGGCAGACACACTAGATGTGTTCATTACGGGGCAGACACACTAGATGTGTTCATTACGGGGCAGACACACTAGATGTGTTCATTACGGGGCAGACACACTAGATGTGTTCATTACGGGGCAGACACACTAGATGTTGATATTGAGAACATCATCTTAAAAATATGTCAATACTTTCACATCTACACTGTGCGCACAGAGAATCTGAAGGAGTACTGTGAATGTGTTGATGTTGAATACAGAAGTCTCCTTTCTCACTGCAAGACGCAATGGCTGTCATTATTCCCGGGTATTGAGAGGCTGCTACAGATGTTTCCAGCCTTGAAAGCATTATTTTTGTCACAGGAAAAAACACCCTCCTTGATCAAGAAGTTTTTTGAAGATGAGTTCAGTGAAATTTACCTCTGGCACATGCACTCACTCATGTGTGTGTTTCATTCTCACATTCAGGAGATGGAAAGGGAGAGCAATTCAATTGTGGAAGTGAATAACCTTTTGAACAAAGTCCACACCATGCTTCTTGAACGCAAGTCCAATAACTTCATGTCCTTTAAAGTTAATGGACTATTGGCACAAAAGCACAAGGATGGACTTGGTAAGAATTGTGACTCAAGTACAGGGTCTGTACAGTTCATGCCTGGAGTATCTGGAGAAATGGACGGCACCCACGGAGGAGTTCTCCTCTTTCATGTGGATGGATCTGAGTGAGACGCCTGACTGGAATGACATAGAAGCCTGTATCAAACACCTGGGAGAAAAGAGGGGTGCCAATTGATGATGCAAAGTGCTTTGATCAGGTCACCAACTTGAAGAAATTCACAGAAAGGTGTAACAGTGATAGAGAGTTCAGTAATCTGCAAGCACACAAGAAGTGGACCAAATATTTTAAAAGGTCCAAAAGCATAGATTTTCATTCAGAGCTACTGACGATTGCACAGTTTCTCTTTGCTATTCCTTCTCACAATGCAAATGTAGAGAGAGTTTTTTTCACTGACGCTAAGCCAGTGGACAAAGGAAAGGAATCACTTGTCTGTTGAGTCACCGAAGGGGCTTCTGTGTACACAAAACAACTTTAAAAACAGGTCTTGCAAAGTCTTTCATGCCTACTTGATTGGTAATCAAGGACTGTTGGGAAAGATTTGATCTTCGGGAAAGTATACCAGAGAGCATCAGGAGGACTGACATTTTAGACTGAAATAGTGGATTTGTTTATGACAACTGTTTATTTTATTTTATTTTATTTTAACCTATGGCCATGAAAATATGTTAAAAAGAGCTAAACTATTTTTATTTATTTGTTTGTTATTATTCTATCATTGAGGGCCAACAGTTGAATGGAAAGGAAGTATTACTTTATGTATTAAAGTTCAATAACATAGTTGCATGGTTGTGAACGCATTTTGTATTTACCACCCACTGTGGGTGTCAGTCTGCCTCCCGCTCCCACTGTCCTCTTTTTTGAAAACTAAAATATGGTCACCCTAGATAAACACAAGTGCATTTTATCATTTTACGACCTCTGTAATCTAGAGGAGTCGGTGAAGCTGTGTGTTAAGGTAAGCCTTGTTTGCTAGCTTCTAACAAGCTATTTTGTATGGGATTTTAATGATGACAGAACTATGTGAGTTTTTATTTTGAATTTCGTGGTCGCTCATTGATATTCGTGGTTGCAAGTACTATTCGCAAATGTGCAATTACATTTTGCAAGCTTGTATCACGGTGTGTGAAAGATTTAACAACGGTCGCAAACTTGTAACTTGACATTTGAATACATTCAATAAGATTTGCTGACACGCCTACTCCCGCTCCTCCCCTCCAGCTGTCTTCATCAGGGTACCATCATTACACACACCTGGACCTCATCATCACCTTGATTACTCTCCCTTTATTTAGCCCTCAGTAGCCTCAGTCATTAGGCAGTATTGATTTTGTTCAAGTTCAGTACGCTTCTCCTGTTTTTTGTTTATCTGCCTTCTCTTATCATTAAACTTACCTTCTGCACCTGCTTCCTGACTCCAAGCATATTCGTTACAGAATACTGCCTCAATTATTATGGAAGCAGCAGAAGAGAAAGACATCTCGGTGAACAGGGACACCTACTCCGC